TTTTATGAGTAAATGTTTAATTTTATTTATTAAAAAATTTAGTTATATTAATTAAATAAATTTTGATCATTTAAAAATACATAAATTTCCGTTGGCCCTATTGATGTTTTACTGAAAAACTCAATTGTTTTTCTCCCTATATTTTTTATGAGTAAATGTTTAATTTTATTTATTTAAAATTTAATTATATTCAGTAAATAAATTTTGATCATATCAAAATTAAAAAATTGAAAATGTATACATATAATTAATTTTATGTATACGTTTGTTATAATTGATCATGTCGACAATAATGTTTATTAAGTGGTGTTAAAGTATAATCTATTAAGAACCAACAAATTGAGTATTTATTTCATAAAACTTTACAGTGAATCTGATGGGGTAAAAAAGGCTGTCAATAACGTGGTTGATATTCAAAACAACATAAAGGATTGTCGAGTACATATAAACATGATGAGATAAAAGTGTCAGACACATCATCATCCAAATAAGAGATATTAGAAAGTTCAGGATAGAAAACAAGTAACAAATCCTCTTAAATTTAAATTTTGGCATATTCAGGATCAAAATGTTCTGTTTTTGCATAGTCGATTTCATGGAAACGATTAAGATGACGCTGTATTTGATCATTTTCGTGTTCAAGCCTTGATATGACATCTTCATGATTCTTTGAATCCTGTGAATTGTAAATATCAGCTGAACATTTCTTTGGTACCGCAAGTCCATGCCAATGACAAAATACTTCAAAATCACAACGTTTGTCATATAACGGTTGCCATTTTAGTGTGGGTTCGATATGAGCACCTGGAGGTGGATAATCAGTTGCAGGCCTAACAATTACATATTCAGCTTGACCGAATGAGTGACAAAGGTCGATGAGCTCATTGCGAAAGGCACGTTTTCTTCCATACCACTAGAATCAGTATATGATTCAATAGAATGAACTTTATTCAGCGATGTTGATCTGTCAGTTGAGCGTTCATGTTTGTTAATCGAAGATGAACTATTTTGGTCATTGCGTGAAGAAGAACCTTCACTAGTTTGGTTATATTGTGTATGTGATGTGCACCTATACATCTTGTTTGGTGGTGGTGCATTTACACAATTGTGAATGCTATTATATATTTGCTCGGTTTGACAATTTAAAATTATAGTGAAAGGACATCACACTGCAAAGTTCAAAACTTATTTGACAATGAAAAAGTTGGGATATGATAACACACTGAATAGACTGATAAATCCACAATATTGATTAAAGTAAATAGGACATCACACTGCAAAGTTTGGAACTGATTTGACAATGACAGGATGTGACAATGAAAAAGTTGAGATATGACAATACACTAAATAGATTGATAAAGCCATGATATTGAATAAAGTAAATAGGACGTAGACATAAACGTTATGCTTAATAAGTTAGACACTTATTACATTTGTTAATTTTCATTAGACATATACTCATCTGATAGGTATTGTTCATTAGACAATACATTAGATTACTTAGTAGCTGTCAACTCCCTGCCAAATGCAGTTGCCACCATGTCAGTTGCTATTTGAAACATATAATATCGGCACTTACATAACATCATCCTATTATTCTCCTATTGTACATGTTTAATTGCTGCTTCATAGTTCACTCTATTCCTTCGCAGAATGGTAAGTAAAAGTCTATGTGGCACCGGTATACCAAGTTCTCTCAGATTTGTGCATAATGAGTATTCATTAGCACGAAAAGCCCACTCTAGTTGGAGTCCAACATAATACTCTTTTGGACTAGAAAACCTCTAACTTTTATAATCATCATCTCGCTCTTGTAATAACCAAACTGGTTCATGGCTATGGCTGTTACACTTGCTCGTGGTCTTGATGTAGATATATTGTGAAATACATGTGAAATGAATCACCCCGTATTATGTTTTTATAGTGGTTTCATTCTCTTAAATGCATCAGTGTGTAGTCACTTATTTTGTCGTATAAGCACAAATGTCAGCATTGCAGTAGTGTGTTGTCACATTTATATTTGAGTTGATGGTCAAACATTGAAAAAAGAGTGTAGTCAGACTACACATTATTGTCTATCAGCCTAACCACACATTGGTACATAGTCACTGTGACTACACACTGAGACGTCGACTAGATTGAAGTTAATAGACCTTGATTCACTCTGATTCCTAGTGATTCACGTTCGTGATGCATTCAATATTGTCAAGGGTTTTTGGCATTAAACTAGTGTGTAGTCACAGGATGTTGATTGTGACTAAACACTAGTGCATTGAAGTGCAATGCATGGTCTTCATTAACGTGTGTTGCTAAATAAGAAACATGTATAACTTGACAATTGCATCATTGTCATTCGTTGTGACTACACATTGGTTCAATATCAGTCATTGTAATTACACACTAGTTCAATGTCAGGCATTGTGACTACACAATGCTTTAATGTTATTCATTGAGGTTGTAGATTGGCATACTCACATACATAATTTGTCTATAAGTTTGAACTCATGTGCAATGTTCAATGTACATAATTCATCTCTAACCATTAATTATAGTTCGAGAATGGTGTTTGAAACTCTGGGTTATTATTGGGTTTTAGAGGATGAGTTCTTTTACCTAATGAATCCTCGCTTACGCTATTCACTAAGCACTAGAAACACAATGATGACAGAAAGAGAAAATCTAAGCTTAGATTTACGTTCTTGCAACATAAGAAGGCCTCGACAAGTTGCTATTGGTATGCCTATTACCACTCCTCAAGAATTAGAGAGAGCATTGTTTCGCATTCGACATGAGAACAATTGAATGACAATCTGTTGCAATTGATATAACCTACGTCGTATTACAATCGACTATTCTACAGACGAGAGGATACAAGAAGCACTTTTAAGCTTCCAATTGAGTGAAAAAGTTGGATGTATTTCTGATGTGGAGATGTCTGACGAAGATGAAGACCCATAAAGAAGTGTTATGCAACTCCTATGTTGTAACATTTACACTTCGTTCGTCGTACTTATGTTTACAAGTATGTTTGTTTATTATATTTCTATAAAATATGGTGTACTACTCCAGTTAATATTTTTCATCTGAATTTCAATAAATTATGATATGTTCTTCAAGAAATGTTGCTTAGAGATAACAAGTTTGAAAGACAACAATCAAAGTACACTATATCAAACTATGAACCCAAAAAGTTTTTATATTCAACACTAATGGACACAAATTATATACAACATAGACAAAAAAAACCAACTACGTCCCACAAGGTGGTGGTCACCTCTATCACTTGGGCTGCTGTCCATCAGGAGGAGCTGGTATATCTTGAGTGACTCCACCATCTATTGGATCATGTGCATGGTGGCTAAGACGAAAGACTCTATGCCCACCTCTGCCTCGATCTCTGTGTGACAGTGATGGCTCCTATGTCACTCCCTTAACAGGAACCTCAGCATCATCGGAACAGTCCTCTTATAGAATAGAAGTAGGTCGTCTGGGGAACAGTGGAACAATATATGGTATACAAGCCACATTGAGAAGTGATGTAGTTGTCTGGTTTAGTACATGTGACATAACTCCTATACCCATTCGCTCTAGTGAAGGTGTGAATTGAGACGACGATATATCAATATGTAGTGAGGTCAGTGGTGGATCACATGATGTAGGTGTCTGTGTAGGATGGTCAATGGGAGGTGTAGCGATATGGTCAACGACAGGTGCTGGATTACAGTAATCAACAACTAGAACATATGGTGTAGGTGGACATGCTACATCGGTCTAGGGAACATATGCAGTCGATGGTCCTTCCTGTATTGATGTCGAAACAGTATCCAAGACTGATGAGGATGTAGGCCCATGTGCGCGAGCAGCTGGATGTCGTGGAATGTGTACACCATGCTAACGTGCATGCGTTGGTGCTATAACTACTGCCTGATAAATGTCTGCCAGTGGTTGCACAAGTCTTCGATGCTCAGAAATCGATGACAAACACCTATAGCTGAGATTCCCAATCCAGTTGATGGCCGCTAAACAAGACTACAAATCAAGCTCACCCCTAACAGTATCACGTACTGTGTGGTATACATATGTCAGGGTTTGTTCCTACAATACCAAAAATTAATGATTTACCACAAGATTACCTAATTTTTGTAACATACAGTGTAAACGTTTTGTAACACACAATGCTAGATAAATACAAACTATATCCACATACCAATAGCTCGATGATACTTCAACCGAAATTAGGTTGCGGAATGGGCGGTCCGATAAGTAGACGAGTAATGCGTTGATACCACTCTATGTATGGATCATTGTCATCTATCTTGTCGAGGGTAGGCTCGCCATGAACAATAGAATCTCGCCGCTGCTCCCACATGGTGATGTAGCACTGATGTGCGGTCATCCATTCATAACCAGGTCTGCCAGCATCTAAACTGTCTGAGAACACAGTCAGAAAAATGCCACTCCACCACATCAAAACAAATTAGCAGTGCTAGTGTAATCCATAAGTCCTGACCCTCAAGCAATAATCTAGTAGACTTGCTAGCACATCCACAGTGAAAGACTGTTATATCATCTGCAGTATAAGAATGATGAGTATTGTTAGATTTTGACAAAAATAAAAAAATTTGACAAAGTTTCCCTTATAAGAATGACCCCAAAAAATTTTCAAAACTTGTTGCATATTATATTTCCTACATACACTAATAAAAACCCAAAAAATGCCACAAACTTCCACTAATCAACTCATCCACCAACTCAGTGTAAACATCCAATAACCCGTCAACAACACAAATAACTACCAAATGTATGTCTAATTATTGGTATACTTGCTCATCACGCATCTGATCAAGCTGGTCTCTATAATGTCTCAGAACATGGGTAGACGTGTGTTACTCGAAAAATGCAACATCCCAACTACATAGCAAAAAAATAGAGTTATATATGATATTAGTTGGCAGTACGTACTAGTAATGAATAATGAACCATACAACTGAAATATTGTCTTACCTACACCCACGAGACCTTGCAGGCAGGTCATCATGTGCCACGACATGTGGTGTAGGATCATGTGCTGGCATAGATGCAAGACTATCTGCTGGGCCGTTCTCCACATGTGCATCTACTCTATCCTGTACTGTATGAGGTAATGAACCACGTGGTAGTAATCTCTGGGGCCGAATGTTGCTAAACGCTCTCATGCCCACAACTGTATAAATATATGAAACAAGTTGTAATAGGACATGTATGTTAGACATTACATTAAACTTAAAACAACAATAATATGAACATGAAACAGATGTCTGAATTATACCTGCACTAGAACAAGTAAGCTGTCGATATCCTTAGCATCACGTCTAGTAACGACACACATCTCACAATATAATCATGTCAATGCTGTGCTGCCCCAACTATATTGACCAGCAGTGGTAAGATCAACAATCAATGAAAGGTACATCAGCTTCACCTTGCTAGATGGCTTGTCTATGAACATATATGAATTGGTCAATAGCATGATGTATATTCTGGCATAACACACTATGAAAGCATCGTCATCATCTACAGGGACACCACTATCCAAATGATTGCGCAGTGCAGTAAGCCTAACGAACGACCCGTCTATAACCCCCGGGGCAGGGGTAAACCCAAGTAATTCCTAGCATAATGCTGGCCATGTCGTGCCATCAAGATAATTATCCCTCCTAGACACTTTCATACCATCGATCTGTAGGCATATATGCATTGTGACATCCTGGAGGGTGATGGTGGCCTCACCTACAAGAAGATGGAATGTGTGCATCTTAAAATACCTTTTCTCAACTAGTGTTGTGATGCGACCCTAGTCCAATCACTTGGACGCAATTTTGTGCGCCCCATAAAAATCAACAGTAACCAAATGACGAAGAACGCGCTTATTCGTCACATGTAATTGTTGTACGATGCGCTCATTGGGCCTGTAGTGTAATAAAGAGGGATCTGCCATATGTACTCTGATCGATACTCTACCTGTAAAGAAAGAATAGAGTAGTCATGTGGACTAGGATGTACTAATTGCCTACCATCAGTGTCTATAGCCAGAACTAAATTAATCTGCAAAAACCAAAATACAATTATGAATTATTATAGCTGACATCCACAATTTTATATTGATAAATGTAACATTTCCAACTTTCAACATAGCATAGTTATATCATTTCAACAAACATGTACTTACAAGACCATGTTCGTACGAATTCATTACAATATAACCACATCGTAAGGTTTAATACACACTTGAGTAACATAGAGGACAACTTAACAAATAACTTGAGACTATCTAGTGAAGGGATGATGGAGCTCGTGTGTTTATGGATGAACACTTCTGATGATTATGAACCAATTCACCGCATAGACCATAATATATCTGATTACAACCCTCTGGCGGGAAGTTCATCTCATTTTGTATGCGCATCATCGTCCATGGCCGACCAACCACGTCTCGATGTTGGTTAAGATTAGGGAGTAATTTGGGATGCAGAGGATTATCCCAATAATGTTCATGCTCAGGAGGATACATTTCGGGCTCCCAAATTCTTGCCAAAGTGTCGATGCTGTATATGAGATCTATGTACGATTGAAAATGTAATTGAAAATGAGAGCATACAACCAATACATGAGAGGAAGAAATCCTGTAAATTGCCCATATTTTGCATGTGCATGAACGATCTTCAAGACACACAACCTGCTTCTGACCACCGCCAGTCACCATTTCAGTAAGACCACGCTTCCTATGACATGACATCACTTTGTGGACACGACTCATTTGCTGTGCATGTTGTACTCATTCCACAACACGCTTAGGAAACTTTAACCCATTTTCTTTTTATTTGGCCACATTATCTCGATGTTCAAAATAATACTTAATGACTCGATAAAATATCGATTGCACACAAGCAGTTATGGACAAACATCTAGCACCTTGGAGAATATTATTAAAAACCTCAAAAATGTTGGTTGTCATTATGTCATATTGTCGTCCACCATCATGAGCTAATGTCCACTTCTCCAATGATATATTATTCAAGTACTTAGTTGCTTCCTCTTTGACATTGTTTATCTGGGTCATCAACTCATCTAACTTTCAAACTTGTGTTGTCTGGCCAGCCCTTCACATAAGATCCTACAAATTACCATCCTTAACCAGTGTATTAAAATTACTACGAACATACCAAAGACAAAAGCGATGATAAGCATGTGGTGGATGCCACCAGAATCTTCCATGTTCACAGTAGAAAGGATCCCTGCGAACTAAGAACTATCCGCCAAAGGTAATATAAGAAAAAAACCCAACTTGATTGATTATCCTCTTCCACAATAATAAATACAATGAGAAACAACTGTTTATTAGCATCAAAATTAGTCACCACTAACAGCTTTTTCTTGTACTTTTCATGCATAAATGTCCCATCATTACTAAGTCACTGACAATAGGTCGACAATATTTAAACCCTTTAATGCTGGTCTTGAATGGCCAAAATACTTGTAAAAAAAAGATTGTATTAAGGAGATTCATAGTTGTACCGCCATTTCACAGTCGAGCCAAGGTTATACTTCTTGATGGCACCCAAAAATTTAGGCAACATGTCATACAACAAGTTCCAATCACCAAAAATCTTAGCAATGACCTTGTTCCTCGCAATCCATGCTTTCTTGTAAAAAATGTCATACTTAAACTTCTCCTTTATATTCTTCTGAATTGTTGACATTTTTATTTGTGGTTTATCCCCAACCAGTCCGAGTATGTTATGACATATGAAGTCAAAGTCTAACTATCGATGGTCACGACTCATTCAAGGGTAAAAATAGGTATGAGGTCCATTATATTTTGTGATTTGAAATATTTTGAGTGTTTTCCTCAAACAAGCACGTAGTCTCCACATACATTAAGGTTGCATATACATGGTGCATTGTATAGTCCACACCGTTGTATTCGTCATGACCATGACATAATCCTAATTCGGCTTGATTGAATACCATTTAACTGCCTTAATCAATGAAGCTTTATCTTGAAAAACCATGCCCTTTGCCAACTTCATCTTCAGCGGATCCCACAAATTCATTTCATAAGACGATAAAAAGCTATTTACTTCAGAATGCTAACCAAATTCAATGGTTGTGAAAGGAGGTGGAGTAAGACTTATGCATTTGAACAGCTGATGGGCCACCCTCAATGTCTTCACCATTCTCATCTTTGTCATCTAGCTTAGTAATCATTATTTTCTCAAACTCTTCTTCTTCATCATCGGAGTTATCTATACGATCATTTGCACACATTTTCGGATTGGGCTTTGTTGCATTATTGGTTGATGGACAATATCCTATTCACCAAACTTAATTCCCGCCTCACCCATTTGAAAATTCTCATTCAGTGAATTATTGTTTGAGTACCCACTGTATGTTGCAGAGCCAGTTCTTTATTGGGTGTACGAGTACTGCCCAGACCCATCCATTACCTGCATCCTTACGGGAGTTGAACATTCACTCGTCACCCCGAAAGTTGGAAATGTCAAGGTACCCATCTCCCATCTAAGCAACTTAGTGTAAGACATGACAATAGTGGTTATGCACTCTTTGGTTTGACTACTGTCTATGCTAGCATTAATGTTTTTTTTGTCTCCACGTACAAAGCAACACTAGCAATGCTGGAGTTGTCAAGTACCACATTAATAAAAAAAGTCACAAGTTCATCGTTCACAATTTTTAGACCGATATATGCCTTCATGTTTGGTTCTGTTCCAAGTGTAAAAGGATATCTATATGTCAACTTCAACTAGTTATGCGCCCTGTCTAACCCCAATACGGTGTAAATTTTACTCAACAACTCCTACAATTGTGTGCCACTATTAATAACAATTCCACCTTTGGGAGAAAAATTGTTTGAAAAACCCTCCGATCCATATTTCATTCGTCCACCCCAATATGGCAAAACAGTTACTTGTTTTCTCGCCATTTCAATTAGTTTCCATTGTGGAATACTTTCTGAATTCACAAGAACCTGAAAATAGATAGAAAAGATTAATACTTGAGGAAGAATAGATCCATATTTAATAAAAGTCCCATGCAATTTAACGCATGTGACATACAAGAATTGATAAAATATGAAAACCTTAAGGTTGGAAGTGTCGAGCAAGCACACAAACAAACTGGTAGATCAAACCAATACCATGAACTTTGATACAAACAGTGACATTGGTAGTGCTTGCTGAATAAGAGACATAACAATAATGTCATTACTGAGATTGAGAGAGCAAAATGGTGTTGGAAAATTGTGTTGCTCAGACATTTATGGAAATTTTATAGAACTTTAATCATATACGAAATCTTAAACAATTTATAGAAATGTTGGTTCAATTAACGTTTTACATCGTGAGCAGAGGTTTAGGTCATCTTAAAACTACTATCGTAGAATGAAAGGAAAACTTAGACCTTGCTAAAGGGGTGGGATGGTGGCACTGCACCTTTAAATAACACTATACTTTAGCCTTTAAATAACAAGAAAATATATATTCTTCGAATGTACTAGACAGCTATTAGCAAGGTGGTACTGCACCTGCTAGATCATATATGCTTCAACTAGTTGAAAAAGATTAATCTATTCCTCCATGGAAGTCTATTGGTAAGAGTAGTAACAATAAGTCTTCAACATGTAGAGGAGAAGCAACTGGAGCAAGTTGCTTGAATCCCATAATTCTCTAAGAAAATAGAAAAAAAATATACATATGAATGATGTAGAAGTTGAAGCAATGAACAACATAAATAATTCTAAACTACAACATTGAAGTAATATAAAACTTATCTGAGATTTCAAAATATTTTTTTCCCTAAAACACCACCATTTTGGCCGGCAAAACTACACTCTTCTTTGCTTCAAAAATCCAATCTGAATTTCTTATAACAAAGGAAAATAAGTTTACTTCACCATGATCAATCAATTTTCCTCTTTGAACTTATAGATGTAATTTAGCAACTTAGTTAGTCATTGATCAACTTATGTCGATAATGACAATTCAAGTTCATTGTATAAAATTTCTACTACTATGAAGTCTGAAAAGTTAGATATATGGAGTCTTTGCAAAATAATGAGGATTAGTTCCAAAAAATCTTCATTGTCTAAAAAATAAAGGAGATAGCACTCCCCAAGGGCACCCTTTGACTCTTGCATTATCTAAA